ATATTGCATGATATCACTTTCATAAAAAGTAAAGAATAGGTATACACACAGAAAGCAATGTTCTTTGATGGTTACCAGGGATGAGAGTGGGAGGGAGGGGGAATCACTTAATAGATAGTAGACACTTGGTATTTCTGGTGATGGAAAAGATGATACACAATAAGGGGGAAGTCAGCACAACTTGATCAAGGTAAATGAACACACTGAAAGGTAAACAAGAATAAAGGTCAACTACAGTAAATGCTATAACATATACACTTTTGCAACAGAAATAACATGCAAAGAATATGCAAGTAGTTACATATGTAGATATGTATGCTATATGGGTGTGGGAAGGCATATAGGAGTACATTTGCATGCATATATACTCCCGTTTATTTGTGGCATATTTGTGGGCATATGTAGATACATGTTTATATGTGCTGCATATATATTGATATATACAATAAAGCACATATGAGGCACAATTATGGATACTTTTAGACATACCCAAACACCTTGTGGGATTGATTTACTGCATGTGAAGCACAGGACCATAGTCTCATGGGACAATTGTCATAACTTAGTTCATAAAGATAATGTTCTACATCCTAGTTTGGTGAGTAGCGTCTGGGGTCTTAAAAGCTTGTGAGTGGCCATCTAAGATACAACTATTGCTCTTTTCCCATCTGGAGCAAAGGAGAGTGAAGACTCTAGAGACTACTGCCCTAAGATATTCCTTTTAGCCTGGAACTGAAGCCACTCCTGGAGGTCATCTTTCAGCCAAATAATAGATTGGCCTATAAAATAAACAATAACACCGCGAGAAATGTGCTCTGTGGTGTGATGTATTCCTTCTGTGTGGTCTTTCTAGCCATGGTCTTGTAACTCCCACTCAAGTGATTGGGCGGGACTGTGTGATAGGGTAATTATAGCCCACCAAAGGGATTGCTCAGTTTTACCATCCTGCTGGGCTTGAAATGAGCCACCCCAGAGGTGGGAAAAGAGAAGATCCCACCACCACCACCAAGGAAGAATAGCCAGGAGCGAGCACATCCTTTGGATCTGGGATCCCTGCGCTGAGAAGCTCCTGGAACCAGCAAACAGAGAGAGAAAACTGTAGCCCCGAAGATAGCAAGAAGTGGCGGCAGAGACCTGGTAGCAGGAGATGGTGTGGTGGGCTTCCTGGCCCACAGAGAGAGAAAGCTGAGTGTCTATGGGCTGAGACTGAGGGCCAGGGAGAGGCGTGCCTGCGAGCACAGCTGGGAAGAGGCTGTCCTGATGGAAGAACTGTATTCTGAATGTTCCTGAGCCTGAACCGTAACCTGTTACTTCCCTAATAAACCCCATAATCGTGATCATGGTCTGTGAGTTCTGTGTGGCCACTGCGATGAATTATCAAACCCTGCAGAAGCAGAGAGTGCCGTGGGAGGGACAGCTGGTATCAGAGTTGGTAAAGGTGGTGGAGAGAGGAGGTATGTCTGACCTCCATTTCATGGAAACCAGCCTTGGGGTGTTGATCTTGATTCTCCTTCTCCCTTGTGAAGTTAGAGGAGGTCAGACACTGCTCCCATGCTGTTTTTACAGCTCTTTTAAATAATTAACTACAGGAGACCAAATGGTCAACATTACACAAAAGCAAAGATCAGAAGGCAAGGAGGGGCAGGGAAACTGTATGGATGGAAATAGTGCAGGTGGGGTGGAAATGGTGAGAGTGCTGACACATTACAAGGATTGTAACCAATGTCACAGAACATTTTGTGTATGACTTGTTGAACAGAAATTGAATTTTGCTGTGTAAACTTTCACCTAAAACATGATACACCCTCTCCTCACTTATCGACACAGTTAGGTTCCAAAGACCAAGCCGTTATGTGAAGTTGGCATTATGTGAAGATGGAGGATGACCACACCAGATCACAAAGTGGAGGACGGTGACGTTATTATATAACTACCAAATTGCATCATTACATAACTGCCAAACCACTGAGAATCATGGCCCTGCCAAGCTGATGCATAACCTTAACCATCACAGCCAGCGTTACTCTCGCCTTGTGCTGTGACGTTCGTTAGTGCCAGAACTACATCATTAATGTACAAAAGAGTCGGACAGCAGATTTGTTACTATTGTTGTAAATGCAAAATGTCAGATAATGAGATAGTCGGTAAGTGAGGAGAAGGTGTAAAATATTCTATACATACACACACAAAAAAGTGCTTGTGGTAGCAACATGGAGTCCCTGGGTAGTGCAAATGGTTAAGTGCTTGGCTGCTAACTGAAATGTTGGAGGTTTGAGTCCACCCATGCTGCAAAAGAAAAAGTCACAGCTGCTGAAAGGTCACAGCCTTGAAAACACTATAGAGTCATCCAAGGTACAACAATTGGTCTCTATTTGCTGGACCAACAGAGAAAGATGGAGTGTCAGCAATAAGAGGAGGAAACAGAATGCGTAGCCAATTGCCTTCATGAACAACTGCTTCCTTTCCATGAGACCAGAAGAATTGGATGGTGTCTGCCTACAATTACTGAATATTTTGATCAATGATTCTATAGAAGAATCCTGATCAAAAGAGTGAAAATGCAGAACAGAATTTCAAATTCTCATGGACTCCAGAATTCCTGGAGCCACAGAGGCTGAACGAACCTCTGAAACTATCAACCTGAGGTAATCGTTAAACCTTGAACCTCAAACCAAAAATATCCCCTGACGTGTTCTTTAAACCAAACAATAGCTTAGCTTAAATATTAAAGAATGTCTGCCTTAAGCATTGTGCTCTTTTAAGAACTATTTATATGGGATCAAACTGACAACAGTAACTCGAAAGATTAGATAGGAAACTCGAGGCAGTGAGTTTATATTAATGGAGATAAGGAGGGTGACAATGGTTGTACAACTTGGAAGAATGTAATCAATGTCACTGAATTAATTGTACACGTAGCAATTGTTGAATTGGTGAATGTTCTGCTGTGTATATTTTCAACCACAACAAAAAGTAAAAAAAATTTTTTTTATTGTACTTTAGGTGAAGGCTTACAGAACAAATAGTTTCTCATAAACAGTAGTACACATGTTGTTTTATGACATTGGTTAACAACCCCACAACACATCAACCCTCTAACTTCTCAACCTTTTTTTTTTTTTTGGGTGAAAATACACATAGCCAAAGATAGACCATTTCAAAAATTTCTACATGCACTGTTCAGTGACATTGACTACACTCTTCCAATTGTGCTGTTATTCTCAATTAAGGTGAAGGCCTACAGAACAAAATAGTTTCTCATTTAACAGTTACTACAAATGTTGCCCTATGACAATGGTTAACAATCTCACAACACATCAACAATATCCTTACTCAACCTTGGGTTCCCTATCACCAGCTTCCTTGTCCCCTTCTGCCTTCTGGCCCTTGTCACTGGACTCCTGTACCTCGTTAGTCTCATATGGTTTTACGGTGCTGTCCACTCCCAGGCTGAACAGTGAACCTTGGAGGTAACTTTACCACTGAGCTAAAAGGGTGTCTGGGGGCCATACTCTCGGGGCTTCTCCAGTCTCCTTTAGGCCAGTAAATCTGGTCTTTTTTTGTGTGAGTTAGAATTATGCTCTACATCCTTCTCCAGCTCTGTCCAGAACCCTCTGTTGTGATCCTGGTCAGAGCAGTCAGTGGTGGTAGCCGGACACCATCTAGCTGTACTGGAGTCAGTCCAGTGGAGGCCTTGGTAGCTGTGGACAATTAGACCTTCGGACTGATCTTTTCCTTGTATCCTGTTCTCTTCATTCTCCCTTGCTCCCGAAGGGATGAGACCAGTGGAGTATCTTAGATGGCCGCTCACAGGCTCAAAAAGTAAATTTTAAAAATTCTCACAAAAATATACAATTTTTCATAAAGGCATGTGTTTTGTACTTTTTTCTATCTTTATAATCCTTACTGTTCCTTTCACAATGATGGTACTCCATAAATATTTATGGAATTGAATAGGACTTTCTTTGCAGATAACTGTTTTCTGGTTTTCAGATTTTTGAAATGTTACTAATAAATATACATTTTCATAAACAAACAAAAAAATGTAATGGGCACTAATATCTCTTCCAGTTGGTTGACCAGATAGCTGTCTTCCAAATTTTTGACCTAGATGACGAAGTGCTTTCAGCATTGTAACTGTTTGTTGAAGCATCTCAACTGGTAACCTTTAGTAAATTTTAACTTCAATAATTCCTCCCTTGCCTTAGACAGGCATTACTTGGTTACTGATGCTTTCTTTTTCACAAAGAAAAAAGATTTTTACAGTTGTAAAATTGAGTATCTTTTTCCTATTCTCAGAGATATAATCTTAAATCATGCTTTGTTAGCTCTTACTAGGAACACTTTAATGATTTCATTTTTTTCCTTCCTTGATTTCTCAAGTTTTAAACTCTCTTCTCTACTCCAAATGCAACTGTTGAACATAGTTAACACATTTAGATATAATTCTTTTCAAATACATTAAGTGACTTATTCAAACAAAATTTTCTTGCCTTCCCATATCCCAGGTTCTTTGCTATTCTAATACTTTTCTCAGACATGCATAGGTTTTTCTCTGAGTGTTGTATGACCTTGGGTAGTCAATTTACTTCACATTATTTTAACTCATAAAACAGTCACAATGTCACTTATCCTACCTGAAAGTTTGCTGTGAGGATCCAACAGGAGAAAGAGTGGGAAAGTCCTTTGACATATCTAAAACTCTGTTATAGGGCAGGCCATATAAATATGATAGTTTGATGTCAGCCTCATCCTTCACAGTTGCCATCAGCATTCTCCATGGATTGGTACCTCGAATGGCCACCCTTTCAAATAATGACTCGAAATGACTATTCTCAACTTAAAATCTTCAGCAAACATAGAGACTTTTTCAACTGATATCATCAAAACATAGCTTTATTTTTATTCCAACTTAATATGAACAAAATACTTTCAATAAAAGAAACTGGAATGGTAATTATCAAATTGATAGTTAAAATAAGAATTAAGGGCTTAATTACCTTTCTTCCAATATGGATTCCTGGAGTATCCGCTTCCACAATAAATCCAGTAAAGGCTTTACTAGCAGGAGTCTTAGGATTTGGATCAGAACGGGCCAATAAAAAATACCTAATATGCACACATATAAGATGATGATAATGATATCAGCAGATACATATGGTGATTGCTCTCAGTTAATCCACCTAACAATCCCATTTATTATTACCCCCATTTTACAGATGAGAAAATAAAGAATCAGAGAGGTTTAAAAACTTGCCCCAATGGTGCCTGGTGACCGCCCTGACAGGGAACACAACAGAGAGTCCCTGATGGAGCAGGAGAAAAGTAGGGTGCAGAACTCAAATTCTAGTAAAAATACCAGACTTAATGGTTTGACTGAGACTGAAGGGACCCCAAAAGACATGCCCCACGGACTCTTTGTTAGCCAAAATTAAAACCATTCCCGAAGCCAACTCTTCAGACAAAGATTAGACTGGACTATGAGATATAAAATGATGCAGGGAGTTAGGGAACCCAAACACAAGAGGGAGAGTACTGAGGTGAGAGAGAGTAGTTGATGTTAGAGATGATGGAGTGGTACAGCAGCTTGGAAAAGTTAGACATCTGGGACAACTTTAACCTCTGCCTCATAGGAACCAGCTTTGTGCTAATCCTTATAAAATAAATCAGTTGTTTACGAGGAAACCCTGAATATAAAGTAATGAAGAAGCAATATACAGAGATGTTGTAAATAACATACCAATTAGCTTTCCCACCATTGGTTATCCACATCTTTTGACCATTAATAACATATTCATTTCCTTTCTTTTCTGCTTTGGTCTTTAAACCAGCTACATCAGAGCCTGCTCCAGGTTCTGACACACAGTAGGCCTTGAAAATATGGAAACAAGGGAAAATATTAAATGCCAGTTATTAAATTATGAATGTTTGAAACAAGGATTTTATTATTTAAACCAGTATTTTAAAGATTTTAAATTACCTAAAAATAAACTAATCTTACAGAACCAAATAAACTGCTTAAATTTGATACATTTAAAATATAAAATTAGGTGTAGGATGCCAATAAACAATATCAAAAATTAAAATGTTAGATATGCTCAACCAAGTTAATTAAATTCAAATTCACATGTACTCATTCATTCAAGCATTTACTGAGTATCTACTATGTACCTGTTATAAACCAGAAGATGGAGCAACCAGAGATGAAAGATCTCCTGTCCTTAATATTTTCACAATGTAACAATGAACACAAGTACAATATTATGCATCTAGTGTGAAAGGCATACATACAGAAGGGGCTTGAGAAACCAGTTTAGCTTCAAGGTATCAGGAAAAGCTTCCCAGAGGAAATGATGCTTAAATTAAGTCTCAAAAACAAAAAGAATCCTTTGGAGAGAGGAGGAGGAAGGGGAAGGAATGTGTATTCCAGGCAGAAGTAATTAGCATATGCAATGATACCAACAGAAGAGGCAGAGTTTCCTGACATGTGAACTCTGTGCATATAAGGAAATGGTAGAAAATGAGTTTAGAAAACAGATGACAAAGTACCCTTTATATCGCAATAACCTGTTGCCGTCGAGTCGATTCCAACTCAGTGATCCTATAGGACAGAGTAGAACTGTCCCATAGAGTTTCCAAGGAGCAGATGGTGAATTCGAACTGCTGACCTTTTGGTTAGCAGTCATAGCCCTTAACCACTGCGCCACCAGGGCTCCTTACATCATATTAAGAAGTTAAAATTTATCTGTTAGAAACAGGAGAGCCTGTTAAACAAGAGTGACAAGATGCAAGAGTAACGGATTAAAGGGGGTGGGGGAAGGTGCAAGTGTTAGGTCGTGTTAGTTCCAGTTTATAAGTGGCAGGTACTTTGAATAAAATGCCTAAAATAAAGTTCCTTGCCTTCAAGATGCTTATAATTCAAAGGAGAGAGAAACCTTAACAATTAACTTTAATTCAAAGTAGTAAAGGTATATAGGCACATTAGAAATGACTACTTGTGAGGAGGTGGAGGCGATGGGTGGTAAAGCAGGTGGGAAGAAGAGTAAGAAGCGAAACTTACTGGAAGAGATAATGTCTTGAAGGACAAATAAAAGTAAGGCAGGCAGACTGAAGGAACAGAGGAATGAAACAGCAGTTGTACTGGCAAAACTAACAGCAGTTCAACATTGGGTTGCTATGAGTCAGAATCGACTCAACAGCAACAGGTTTTGGTTAAAAGAGATGCAGTTCTAAAAAGTGAGGAAAAAACAGTTTGGTTTGGGACATGTTTAGTTTAGCCAAGAAGAAACGTTTAATAGACATGTGCATATACAAGTGTAAAGTTCAGGGGAGAAGTCAGGGCTGATATCAAAGAGTTAAAAGGCTACTCAAATGAATACACCAGTCATAACATCAGATGGAGAAGCTGACTTGGTAAAGAGTAAGCTTTGTATCATTAACAATGCAAATACTATAAGCTGAATTAATAAATGTACAGTATCTAAAATAAGCGTGGTGATGGTGCCATCCTACTTTGTACTGAATACATCATGCAAGAGTACCATATTTAGAATATTTTTGGGTCAGTGATTATTAAGTGATGGGATTTTACTATGTCATATGAAGAAAATATGACAAAATTGGGGAAAAGATAAGATCCACATAGTAGCTATATTAAAATATCTGAAGGGCTTATAGCCAAGGGAGAGAATTAGACTTCACAGAAAAAAACTACACTGAAATCATTCTAACATTTATTGAATGCTTATTATATGGTATGAGATGGTGAAGTTGTAAAAAGAAATGGTACGATCCTGTCCCTCAGGAGCATGTAGCTATCTAACGGTCAGAGGTGCTCCCAAATGTGAAGGTGGTGACACCAAGGCATTTGAGGTATAAAAAAACAAGCTCAGAGTGTCTTTCGTCAGGGATGCTTTAGAGGAAATTCAGGTGTCACATAAGTTAATTGAACTAGACTACTCTCCTTACTGGAGACTCAATAACAGAGATTCATTACAGAATAAAGTATTATACAAATGATAAACGAACTCTCCAGAAAAGACCTTTTTAAAATTTTGTTTTAACCATATTTGGAAATTTTTCCCCTAAAATGTGCTATTAGACATTGTCTGCTTATAATAGGCAAAGTTTTTAGAGGTTATGAAGTGTATAGACCTGTTTGTTTCTATAAAAAATGGCTTGTTACTGCTGGTTCTTCATATCTTATTTGTTTCTTAGTGATGAAAGTTCATTTTTTTAACCGTCTTTGGGCAGAAATCTTCCTTTTTTGTTTCTCTTGCACCTGTTCACTTCTTTATCACACTGTATGGTATTACATAGCATTATATACAGTATTATTGTCATTTGTTGTGTTTCTCTCTTATGCTGTATCAGAGCTTTTTGAGGATCGGAATGGTACTTATCCCACTTGGTATGCCTAGTGTCTAATAATAAGTGTTTAATAAAATTATAAATATCCCACACACTTCCCATCCTTATTATTCTAACTAGTTTGACTTACAACATCTAAATGTTGCTATGCAAACTAGAAAGTCAAGCAAATCAAATCCGTAACCTTATTTTATGCATAACCCTATGTCAATGCCCTGGTGGCACAGTGGTTAAGGGCTCAGGCCGCTAACCAAAAGGTCTGCAGTTAGAATCCACCAGCTGCTCCTTGGAAACCCTACCGGGCAGTTCTACTCTGTCCTATGGGGCCACTATGAGTCAGAATCGACTCGACGGCAACAGGTTTGTTTTTTTTTTAGAAAATGCTTTTCTAAGTTTTCTATACTATGTATTTTTATAATTAGAAATTTTAAAAAATAAAATTAAATCCAGTACAATTTTTAAAAAGACTTAATGGGATTAAATCATTATCAATTAACTTAGATATAATTAAAATATCTATTGAGTATTTTCATTTTCACTCTTAGCATCCCTAGTGCTACTGCAGACCAGTACAGGGGAGAAAGTAGAGTTAAACACTTTCTTAATTCAGAAGTTATGAAAACTTATTAGACAGGGAGTACACTATATGCATCTTTACATATACTGAAAGTATTAGCAAACAAACCTACCAAAGAAGTGTTTAAAATATTTGAACTATTTTTAAAGACTCTCAAGTATTTTAGAAATATCTATTTATAACTAATATGATAATTACAAATAAACTTATCAATTCATTAAGCTAGGTTCTCCTAACCACATCTATGCTTCAATTTATCAACCCATTTCTAGTTAATATATATGTTCCAAAAACCAAGCCAAACCTTTTACTGTCAATTCTGACTCATGGTGACCCCATGTGTTACAAAGTAGAACTGCTCCATAGGGTTTTCTTGGCTATAATCTTTATGGAATCAGATTGCCAGGGCTTTCTTCTGCAGTGCTGCTCGGTAGGTTTGAACCACCAAACTTCAGGTTAGCAGCCAAGCACAAACTGCTTGTACCACCCAGGGACCTACTACATATGTTACAGGACAAGAATCTAGATGTTTCACATAACTCTTAAGACAACATTGAGAATGTTAACTTAAACTCTCATTTGTTGAAAAAAATTACCAATTACCTAGGAAATGTGTACAAATGTCCTTATTAAGGAGTATGCCCAAAATTTAGGCATTTGAGATTAATAAAAAAAATTTATTTTAAAATATTACTTTCTACCCTTTCAATTAGCTGAAACTAGTAATAATTCACTCTATTTCAGTATCACAAGCACACTCCAGATTGAAATCTGTTAAGAATAAAAAACAAGCAGGTAAAAATCCTTACGTAAAGAATACTTCATAATAGAACCTCCGTGTATGTATTATTTATATGCACATATATATGTGTGTATATGTATATTTATACATATGTGTATATTTGTATGTGTATATGTGTATATGTGTATATGTATGTATATGTGTATATTTATACACACATATATATGTCTTTTGAAAAAATTCTATTAAAAACTTTGTTGACTAGCTCTCAGGAAATCAAATAAAATCTATAACTACTCTCTCCAAGTCACTCAGTCACTCAGGGAAAAAGTTGCTATCTCTTCAGTCACATATTCAGCATTAATCTCTTAAAGTTCAAAAGATTCCTAGTTCAAATACCTACTGTCCTTCACTCATAATCTGAGATCCATCCAGGTTTTGAACTGCAGACGGCTCCATTAAGCAGCTCTCTCTCTCCTAGAAATAAGCGCGGCACTTTTTTTGCATCCTAGAAATATCATTGTACCTAAATATGTTCCTTCTTTCACAAAGTCCTTAGCATTATACTTTTTTCTCTCATTTTGTCCACACTAAAGACTTATACATTAATTTTTAACTCACTCTTCAGTTGCTAAAATTCATGTTAATCTGTTACGGCTCAATATATACATACAGATTAAAAAGGAGAAACAGTACTCTTGTTCTCATCTTTAAATGTGAAATAAAGCAGCAGTTGCACATACTCACACACAAAAGTGGCTCCTCAATCATCCTCCCCAAATACTTCTTTTGTTGGTCATCATTTCCAGCAATAATAAGAGGCATTTGCTACCACAGAATATTGACATTAAAGAAAAAGCAAGGTATTTTAATAGATATGTAAGTTCAGAAATGCTAAAATTCAACACAAAAGAAGAAATATTTTCCCTCCAAGAAGTCCAAAGAACTGGCCTTTACTCTACCCCTAAATTACAGAGCTATAGCATGAGGACTCAAATCTGTTAATCTAAGTATATTCATAAAATTGATGAATTTTATTTAGGCCTTGTTGGTAATATAGTATGTAAAAATCTACTATAGTAAAATGTACTAATAAAGAATTAAATTTAGGACGAGTGACTTGGTATGTATCATCAGGCCTCCTAAAAATTGCTAAATAAATTTCAGCATTGCCACCAGTGGCAACAAGCCATCCCTATCTTTTTCCTGAATGCTGGCTCTAGGCCTTGCCTGAATCCAGAATCCCCACTGCCACAGCACCCAAAGTGTATAGTGTCTCCTCAAGGACAGACAGGACTCCAAGTACTAGAGACAACAAGGCCAGAATGACCAAGCCTTGGAATCAGAACTCCAGGCTTCACTGCAGAATCCTACGCTCCTTTTTAAAGAAAACTGTGTTCCACCTACTAATACGTTTACTACCAATTTATTTAGCACTAGGAAAAATAAAGTATATGAACATTCAACATAATTGATTCAATAAATCAAGACGATACTTAAAAGATACAAGAAGACAAAAACTCACTGAGTTACTACTCAGGATAAGTTAATCCTTTGGTAATAAGGCAAATATAAAAATTTCCAAGGCAAAAATTGTATCAAATATTGCAGATAATAATACAATGCAGAGGAAGCTTGTATAAACAAGGCTGAGTAGGGAAAAAAGAAAAATTTTATTACTCCTTGGAATTAATTATTTTCTATAAAGATCTCTAACTTTAAAATGTAAGCCTATGAGGAAAAAAAAGTTCCATAGTGAGATTTTTACTTTATAGATAAACTTTCATAAACACCCACATCTATGTACTCCCTTCCATACTAACCTAGCAGTAACTGTCTCATCAACAGCTAAGTTACACATTTTCTACGTGACTTACCCCCAAAGTATTTCCTTCAAGAGCAGTCTGAATCCCTGTACATCCATATGCCAATTCTTCAGAAATTAAACAAGAATCCAAAATTTCAAGTCCAAGGCCTCCTATAGTATCAATATATTTTAAGAAAGAGCCCATTATAATATATAGTGCATCTCTATGGAAATAAAGGTGAGCTATTTTGATTACCTCTAATATCCAATCCAATAAAAGCAAATTTACAAGAACAGTATCTATAACACTAGAAACTACAAAAAAGTGTTTTGGCTGGCACAGTGACAAATTATGTTTCTCTAACCTAAATTTTAAATATCTAAAAAATCCTCTTTACTATTTATAATTTGTAACCATATTCCTGTTTCAACTTGATTTTATAAAAATTTGATTCAACCCTGCTAAAACTTTGACCTTCGGACTTGAGGAAGTGGCAATCTCACAGGAAAAAATAAAAGGTAGGACTGAAATGTAACAAGCTGACCAACTATAGAAAGAATTTACCAAGGTTACGGATCAAGTTAAGGTTGGAGCCAGTTATAAAAAAGAAAAAAATACCTCTAAGTATGAGTACAGAGCTTCTAAAAGCAGGTAAATACTGAAGTCTGAACAGGGAGACAAATGTAGAAAGCCATTTAATGGCAACAAATATTTGAAAGACTGAGTAGAGTTTCACGATTCATCTTGTTCATTTGTATTCTAGAATTAAAAATGTGAGAAAGCTTACCACAACTCTCTGGAATGTGTGAATTCATCAAACCAAGTTCCCAGGCTCTTTTAATCACGGGGAGAGGGTACTAAATGAAAAAAGAGAAAAAAAAAGCCAGTTACATTGTATTTAAATCTAGGTAGTTTGATTATATGATCTTGTAAAACTTGCAAAAGATTTTTCTCCTTAAAATGTATATGCCTACCTCACCAGTTTTATCATATTCTGGAGCAACAGGGATTATTTCCTCTCTGGCAAATTTACGAGCAGTAGCTTGAAATTCTTTCTGCTGTTCACTGAGTTCTAAGGGAAAGTTATTTAGAAAACATTAAAATAGGACAATTAGTTAAGGAAAAAAGTCTTGAGATCAGTATGTGGAAATTTATAACAGGACTTTAACCCTTGATTATGTAACCAGAAAGTCAAAGACTATGCATTATACGACTTATCAAGATTTCACTGTATAATATACATGAATCTATGTCAAAACAAATGTCAAAGGAGGTAGGTAAGATTTCTAGTTTTTACAAATAAGTAATATATATATAAACCTGTAGGGCTCAAGTGAGTTTTTCTTTTCCAATTGGTGAGATAAAAAGATAATTTTTTTTCCTTATTACTACTTACTAAGAAGATTTATCAAATATTTACTAGTACTCAAGTAGAACTAACATATAAGACACACCCCTGAACTAGGGAGATGAAACATATTCAGGTACCAAAAGCAATAAAACATGTTTGAAAACATATACCAATAACATAATTTAAATTTTACTCCGCCTTTAAATTCAGATAATTTCAGTCTATAAATTAGCATGAGGCAACTGGTAAAAGTGGCTGAGGAAAAGTTCCTCAGAAAGCAGTAACATAAAATTGAGCTGTAATGCTTATAGGAGCCCTGGTGGCACAGTAGTTAAAGTACTCGGCTGCTAACCGAAGTCGGTAGTGTGAACCCACAAACCACTCTGTGGGAGACAGATGTGGCAGTCTGCTTTCGTAAAGATTTCCAGCCTTGGAAACCCTATAGGGCAGTTCTACCCTGTCCTATAAGGGCGCTATGCATCAGGATAGACTTGACAGCAATGGGTTTGGTTTTTGTGTAATGCTTGTAAATGGTATCCAAACAATTCAATTACATAAAATACGGGGTTGTGTTATTATAAAATTAATGAAAAAAATACAATGGCTAGACTGAGGACAGGAGCTGATCATTGGGTTTTAATGTGGTTGCATCCAACATTAGAGGATAGGTAAAATTTAAAAGAAGTATAGGCTATTACAAGCAAGAAGAATAAGAGCAATAGCACAGAAGTAAGAATGAGTAAGGTAAGTTTAAGGCTATCATAATCATTTGCACGGGAATGTGAGAAATAAAATGTAAAAGCATTAAAAATTTGGTGCTGAATTGAATGGCCAAGACCAAATATCTCATTTTATAGATAAGAAAACTAAAGCCCAGAATGAAGAAATGATGGCCCCATAGTCTTATAATGGATTACCAGAAGGAGGCTTAGAGTTTCAGTCAAGGTTCTCTATATCCCAACCTCACTTCTATGGCTGGGGCCAGTACAACATCACTGTTGTGCGTGGTTAAAACATAGGGAAAGCAGGGATCTATTATGTATTATTTATTGAGAAACTAGATCGATCCAGTCACTATGGGACTTCACATACATAACTTAATCTTCAAAGAAATGCTGTGTTACAGATATTATCATAGATTGAATTGTGTCCCCTAAACATACCTGTCAACTTGGCTAGGCCGTGATTCCCACCATTTTGTCATCTGATGTGATTTTCCTATGTGTTGTAAATCCTACCTCTATGATATTAATGAGGCAGGATTAGAGGCAGTTATGTTAATGAGTCAGTACTCAATCTACAAGATTAGGTTGTGTTTTAAGTCAACCTGTTTTGAGATATAAAAGACTTTATTCCACCAAGAAAGTAGTGGCAGGAGAAGAGCGCATCCTTTGGACCTGGCGTCCCTGCACTGAGAAACTCCTAGTCCAGGGGAAGACTGATGACTAGGACCTTACTCCAATGCTGACAGAGAGAGAAAGCCTTCCCCTGTAGCTGATGCCCTGAATTTGGACTTCTAGCCTCCTAGACTGTGAGAGAATAAATTTCTCTTTGTTAAAGCCAACCACTTGTATTTGTTATAGTAGCACTAGATAACTAAGACAGATATTATCCTCATTTTATAGATAAGGAACTGGATGCAACTGGCTTTGGGTATTATTTCTATTCTTTTATTTGAACTTCACAATCTCCCTACTAAACATTTGTATCTATCTCATCTTTTGTCACTCAGCAAACCGCCACCTGTATCTCCTGCTATTTCCTACTACTGAGTATGAATCTGTATGTGACTAGCTGAAACTAGATAGCAGTCACATCAAACCAGTGCTAATATTAATAGGAAGTAACAAGAGCCACTGCCCCAAACTGCTGTTCTCACAGTGCTTGAAATTTTTCATTTAATTCTGTTAAAAAATGTTATAAAAGAAGCTAACTGTCTTAAAAAATAAACTAAAAAACAAATACCATAACCCTAGAGAGCTCTGAGACTGTCATTTGTACCTGACTATAAGTTAATTACCCCGGCTGTCTTTTAACTATTTTCTGAAATCAACTAAACTGAGAAAATGGGCTTTTAATTAGAGGAAAGGTAATAATTTAAAAGCAAGAGGCACTTTAGTTGGTAAAAAGATGCCAAAGATAGGGATGATTATTTAAAATATTTTGCCTGGGGCCTTCATTGCATAGAGGAAAGGGGAAGGAAAATCTTACTCCTTTTCTTTGCGACATCACATGGCTCCCCAGGACTGAGAACTCCATCTAGTAGTACTTCAAATATATTGAGGCCGAAACAGGCTTTACCCTACTACCAAGTACCCAGAATTGTATGGCTAGGAAGTGTTTAACAAGTATTTGTTGAATTCAAATGTCTATCCATTTATAGCTGTAAGTTTGTCATTTATTTTGGACTACATACTCAGGAAAAAGGGAAGAATATATGTATGTCTGCTGCTACCACAGATTTATGAGTAGGAAGAAAACACTATCAGGAAGAATGCACAGGATTAACTGTGAGCAGTCTGTGGATGGTGATGGCTCCTACTCATTGACAGACATCAAGTCTGTTTACCAGATATATTCTAGACAAATATATATAGATACAGCTGCATATGTATAACAAATATAAGTTTAAAATCAAAGGATAGAACACAACATATACCAAAACTAAATCCTAATCCTGGTTCACGTCGTACAGCAGATTTTGTATGTTGTGATCTCCAGTCAAAACGAGAAATACTTCTCAGAACCTGTAAAGAACAATTTTCTTAAAATAAATTTGATAAATATCAATCAAATAAAATACATCAATTTGTTTGACTATACTAAAGAATATAGTTTTTAAAATAACCATTACTTAAAAGCCTTCAACTGTAATTTGATTTCTATACTAAATAAGCCAACTAACAGAGGAACTATAAAAAAACTATAAAAAAAATAAAAAAGCAGCTAAAATAAAATAAAACTAATCAGTGGTAACTGCACTATTGAAGTGGAGGGTTTCCAGGACAAAAAAGTCAGAGACAGCAGAATTATGACCACTATCCTGGAAATAAGCCTCTAGGACACTTGATGATTGGGGATCTGGGGCATACTGTGTTTAAGAGCTGACTAGTCCATCAATTTTGATACCCTGTCTCTGTGGGCCCTCAGATGGGCCTCTGGGAATCTTCTCCTTGGAGGATCCCATTTCTAAGATACCTAATTAACATAAAACTATTTTCTATATTTTCTGCTGTTGTCTATATAAATATTCTTAGAATGTTTTAAGCCAGGGACTGTGGTAGCCAGCAGTTTTTGTAAATAAAATATTATTGGAATATCAAAAAAAAAAAACCAAACCTGTTGCTTTTGAGTGGAATCCAACTCATGGTGACCCCATGTGTTACAGAGTAGAACTGCTCCATAGGGTTTTCTTGGCTGTAATATTTATGGAAACAGATTGCCGGGACTTTCTTCCACGGTGCTGCTGGGTGGGCTCAAACCATCAGTCTTTAGCTTAGTAGTAGAGCGCAAACTGTTCATGACACCCAGGGGACCCACTGGAATACAGCAACACTACACTGTCTATGGTTACTTTCACAGCAGAGTTGAGTAGTTGCCACAGAGACCATATGGCCCACAGAGCCAAAAATTTTTCCTGTCTGGTCCTTTGCAAAAAAAAGTTTGCCAGCCCTGTTCTAAACTACTAATATACTACTTGTCATGTCATGCTTAAATATCTTTAATATACTCATATTTCTTCAACAGGATATATATAAAAACAATGTAATTAGACATACACATGTGTCACCTTTGTAATCCATTCCTATGTTTAGGACAGTTTTAATGAGCACAACAGTAACCTTTGCATTTACTGAAGTTACCAAACTGAAAACCACAATGGTGTCCCTAGAAAAAGTTTGAGACAGCCAAAATTACACAATTTAAACTTCAAGGATTTTGATGGAACTGTCACTAGCCAATTCCGATAAGCTAGATACTAAAAGAAAACAACTAGCTACTAAACGAAAACAGAAGTTGAACAATAACTAAAAGATCAAGAACTGAACTTGTTTTTCAGAACCTGTAAAAAGAAACTTTCCACTTTGTAGATGACAATTCCAACTTACAGAGTCACCTACATTTCAACTGACTATAATTAGATTGTCAAATCATCTTCTAATTTAAATAGTCCTTTCAAAATAATACATCCCACTACAATTTTGAAAAAAAAATTAGAGTATAGATTCACATTTTCTTTGCAATTTTCATTACTTATTTTGGAAGTAAACGTGGTTTTTCTGGTTCTCATTGTCTAGTTCTTCACACTCCAAGCCTATTTTTGTTTAGTCACATTCCATGTATTAATTCACTGAATACCCAGGACAACCATAGGATTGAAGTATTATTTCCATTCCTATTTTGGATAAAGAAACTGAGACTCAGAAAGTTCAAATAAAATTACTTAAGGTCACACTGCTATGAAGTCTGAACCTAGGATTCTAACTCTAACATTTTTCACCAAGAGCCAGTGCTATCAACCACCTTGCTACACTGCTCTTTCAATTTAGTATCCTACCTGGTCATCAGGCCTTATAAAGCAAAGGGGGGGGGGGCACTAAAATCAGACCAAAAAAATTCACTCTATTATAAAAGTGTACTTAAACACTATTGCATAAAAATCAGAACTCACAAAACAGGTAAAATGGTCTGCTGGGAGACTTTAAATAGGAAATTATTTAGTGGCTTTAAAATAATTTATAAAAACTCCGTTTACACAAATTACACACGATTTCTCAGGAACACATTTACCCTGTTAAAGTACAAAGGTGACTACAGTCAGGGAGCAATGCACTTCAACCAGCTGACTACGTGATAATGTTTGCCATTTAAACAAATAAAGACAAGTGGGTTAGTAGAAATAGCACAGAAATAATCGTTGAATTTGAGTCTAGGCCCCACAACTATCTTTGTGACTTCAAACAGGTTACAACGTCTGGTAGTTTTATACACTGAAATATGGGGCTAACCTCACTGAGTTGTGATGATTAAAATGAGATAATGTTTTGAAAACACAGTACCATCCAAATATTGGTTTTATTACTTTGGGCTCTCTGTCCAGAACAAAGGAATTGCAATTCTCCATAAGACAACAATTTTAATCAAGCTTACTCTGTAATAGCAGCCTCACTATTAAACATTTTTTGCATATTCTTTAGAAGTATAAGCGTCTTAGTTTTATGGGAGTGTCAAAGAAGAAATGAAGGGGTATGAGTTTTATGGATCAGATTTTTATCTTTCCTTGGAGAGATTGAGAAATCTCAGCTGCCCTTTTTTCTGGTGTCAGGTATTGATCATGGATGTGTTATCTCCAATCTCCAATCAAAAGGAAGGAATGATATAGAAAATAATACTGGAATCATTTATTCCCTCTCCTTGAACATAGAGAATGTGTCCCAGCTGGAGCTGGGCCCACAAGGGCTCACAGGGACACATCATCTGGGCCCTGAAGTATAAAGACAATAGCTAAGATAATCTTGGAAAATATCTTTTAGGGAACCTTTCGCAAAAACCATTCCAACAGAGCACAAAATACTTTCTACTTTTATCTTTTTCTACTAGCATTTAGTGAACAGAAAATTTGTTGGACCAATGAAGACCCTCCTGACTGTCATTACTGAAATCTGTACCAATGATTGTTAAGAAAGGCAATTCAAAATGTAGGGTCACAGTTTCTAGCCAATCTGTGAAAAGGTGAAGCTTTCAATGGTTTTGCCCATTTTGTAATATTAATATATACTGATGGCTCTGTAATATTTCTTGGACTTGGGCAGACATGGCTGTGGCAGCAGGCTTGTCCGTTTTCCCACTCTTGCCTATTCTGTAATATTCTTTGGACTCAGGCAGACACGGCTGTGGCAGCATGCTTATCCATTTTCCCATTCTTGCCTATTCTGTAATATTCTTTGGACTTGGACAGACATGGGTCTAGCAGCATGCCTGTCCGTCTTCCCACTTTTGTCTATATTTCCTTGGACTCAGGCAGACATGGCTCTGGCAGCCTGGTTGTCCGTTTCTCACTTTGCCTTTTTGAATATATGCTGAATAAAACTTTCTTCTTGCTTTAAAAAAATTTTTTTTTTAAACTCCAATTTCTGCCTTCAGAGTCCATTAACTTGTACAGCAATGAAAATAACTGGACAACAATCCATTAAAATTATTCTAAATTCTAAAACTGCAGCTTTTTTGATCAAGGACATAACTTTTCCTAACTCAATTTTAAGTAACATTTAAATTGCAGTCTTGAGTGAATGTATCAGTATACCAACACATGCATCTAGTGACTGAGCTATTTAGAATCTGTAAGACATAAACCAGTGTAGATAAGTTTCAAGGACAGTTCTGCGGTACTTTTTTTCCCCTTATACAACGTGAGAGCATCCTCCTCCATGTTACACAATCAAAAGCGTATTAAACATATTAATCATCCTAAAGGCCAAATTTCACAGGCACCCAAGACGATCTGAATGCTACACTTTCTAGTATACATCAATCGCATAATGACATCTACTTTATGATTTCCTTCCTATGCTGGGGATAAAGAGCGGGTACGGAGAAGGTTTTCTCAGAGATACTAAGTCAGTAGAGCAAAACCAGAGCAGTGGTTCTGAGACCCCGCCCAATTCGGAGACAGGTTTACTTCTGGAAGAGTGCAGGATTCCTGGGTAAAGTATCTAGAAGGTTCCCGGGCCAGAGGGGGAAAAAAAAAAGGATATTCTGAAGAAAGGACACCGCCTATATATAGGTCGGCTGCCGGGAGAATACAGGAAAGTGAAAACATGGGATATATTTTGTTCAGTGCTGAGGAGGGGGTGGGTGTGAAAGCGAGGCAGGGTCTGGAATCCCGACCGGCGGCCGGGAGTAGGGTAAGGAGGACCTAGGGGCTCGGACGCAGGCTCCTTCCTCACCACTCTTTCCTGCCCCTTTATTTTCCGCCCAGGGCCCGGCTCCCCAAACACGGCAACATCCATTCCCCAGCCCCACCGCAGCCCTGGTCTCCTCACCCTAAACATCGCTGCCATGTTGGCTCCCGCTCCAGCTACTCTAAAGTCAACTCACTGAGGACACCTGAGAAACTGTTGGGCTCCGTCGGCTTATGCGCGCGGAAACCACTCGGCTCCGCCCACAGGGGAAGGACACGGACGGGGTCCGCGGTCCGACGCCCGTCGGGACTCTTGGGGCGGAAATGCCGAAGCAGGGAACAGCACGAAAGAAGGGGCGGGGAAGGCATGCTGGTTGACGCTCACGCGCACTGTCCGCGCGACGCTGCGAGGGGTCTCGCAGAGCTCTAGGGATTCTGACTGGTCCCGAGAGGCGGCCCTGGAAATTGGGAGGGGTCTCGCAGCGCTCTAGGGATCTGACTGGTCCCAGACGGCCCTGGAAAAGGCTTCGCTACCCTTTGGTCCTTAGAGTTCTAACGGTGTGCCCACTCTGTGGGAAGCTGAGTCTGATAGCGCGAGGAGGGACCCGGAAGGGAGGGCTGCCGGCGGGGCGCGGGGGAAGGGGCGAGCCGGGAGGTGCCGAGGGGTGAATTGGGCGGCGCGCGGGGCCGGACGGGAATCGGGGTGGGAGGGCAGTGCGGGGACCTCGGTAGCAGCTGTAGGAGGTCGGGCGGTAGAGCTTTCTCCTGGCTACCCTCATTGCCCTTTACCGTGCTAACTTGTCAAGCCCAAATGTTTCCACTTTAAGGATTCAAAGTAGACTTTATTCCCAAGTGCTGGTCCTAAAGCCAGAGTATATTCTGTGCTCCGGAATATTTAAACGAGAATTTAATTACTTAGGTAAACTCGGCCTTTCTGAATATTTTAAGGGCGAGTTATTACTGTCCTCGTGTGTAAATCCGGAGAGTGCCCTTGGAAATCGGGGTGCAAAATAAGCCTATCTAAAGCTCTTGGCTCATCAAATGAATGTTGGAAGTAAATGTTTGCCCGGAAAATCCTGCTTAAAATTACCTTCTGTTCAAATTAGACACTGAATTCTAAGATGATTGTTGTGATGTTGTAAAGTTGGTGGGGGGAGGTGTTTTTCAAAAGCTGTGCAGGTTTGGATGCCTGTTTGTAAAAGCTAAGAAAAGCCTGGATAGGAGGCAAGAGTGTAAATGTTTCCCATATTTCCCAGGACTCTTCATTTTCTTTGCTACCATCCTAGTTTAGTTTCTCACCTCTTCCCTAAATCTTGCTACTAACTTGCTTAAAGAGTCCCTTGGGTGATGTAAACAGGTAAGGTGCTTGGCAGCTAACCAAAAGGTTGGAGGTTCTAGTGCATCCAAAGGCACCTTGGAAGAAAGGCCTGGTGATCTTTCTGAAAAATCAGCCATTAAAAATCCTATGGAAACCCTTCAAACTTGAAACTGAAATCACTCCTGGAGATCACGTGATAGCCATACAATGGACAGACTTATAAAATAATAACACCAGTGAGGAATGTACCAGAACAATCAACTATATGAAGCCTAAGGGGCAGCTTTTCCCAAAGCAAAGTTCAGGAGGAAGGTAGGGGCAGGAAAGCTGGGCAAATGGACACTGGGAACCCAGGTAGGAATGGAGGAGAGCGCTGACACATTCAGGGGTTTACAACCGATGTCATGAAACAAGCTGTGTATAATCGTTGATTAGGAAAAGAATTTGCACTGTAAACTTTTACCTAAACAACAATAAAATGCAGTGCAATGGATTGCTTTTGTGTGGCCTTTTGCACCATGATCTTGTAACTCCCACCCAGGTGATTGGGCTGGATTGTGCAGATAGGATAATAGTGGCCCACCAAAGGGACTGGACTCTTAAAGATGGGTAGGATTTGGCTAAGCATGTCTTCATTTTTTTCCGATTTCTTATTCTGAATATTTTTAAACACAGAAAATATGAACAAAAAGTACAATAATCACCCATATTCTCACTTACATTAAAAAATTATTAATATTTTTCCATATTTGTTTTATTTGTGTGTGCAAAATATACATGTATGTTTTGTTGTTTGTTTCGTTTTTGGCAGAAGCATTTGAAAGTAAATTGTAGACTTTAAGACACTTCAACATACATCTCCTATAAGGTCATTGTCCTACATAACCATAATACTTCTACCACACTTGAGAAAATGAACAATTACTCTAATATTTAATATCCAATCAATACTTAGATTCCCCCACTTGTCCCGGAAATGCCTATTGTGTGTAGTTTGTTTGTTTTAATCTTTAATCTTATGTTAATTTCTTAATCTAAATCAGTTCCTTCACCTTTACTTTTTTTTTTAAACAGTAATTTTTTTTAGACTGGACGGCAATGGGCTTGTTTTTTTGGTTTTATATAGCCCACAACTGAGCTGGGTTGTTAACAGAAGGCCATCGCTTTTCAGGGGAATTACTTATCAAAGAGATTACTTTTCAGGTAGTGAATTGAATGTAGCTGATGGAGCAATTCCAAAGGAAGAAACTAGAGTCTTGAACTGAAAAGACCAGTTTATACTACGGGACAACTGTATATTTGGTTATAGCAATGAGGAGTCATGAACTGGAACCACAGAAGTCTCATGAAATTCAAGTTAAAACTCTTGAGATCAAGGTCAGAAGTGGTTGAGTTAATGGGATAGCAAAATCATAATGCAGCAACACTTGGTCAAGTTCTAGGATTAGCGAAGGCAAGTTTAGTCTAAGAACAGGAAGGAGAGTGAGACAGGCACCATGGCAAATTGCCTTGACAAGGTTTTAACTGACTTATTGTCAAAATAGAAAACCCAAAAACCAAACCCGTTGCCGTAGAGTTGATTCTGACTCATAGCTACCCTATAGGGCAGAGTAGAACTGCCCCATAGGGTTTCTAAGGAGCTGCTGGTGGATTCAAACTGCTGACCTTCTGGTTAGCAGCCAACTCTTAACCACTGCACAAGATTTATTCATTTGCTTATGAATGTAATACGTGCTTACTATTTAAAAATCCAACAAATAAAGCCAAGTATAAAGTAGAAAATAAGAAATTCTATAATCCATCCAGGAATAATGTTAATATTTTGCTATAGCTTTCAGACTTTGTTCTGTGCATGCAATAATACACGCATATATTCATAGTATTTTTCTTTACGAAGTGGAATCTTATTACATGTATAATTTTGCATCTGCCTTTTAAAAATGTAATAGATCATGAGTATTTTTCCATATGAATGTATGATTATGTCATCATTTTTAATGTTTCCATAATCTATATATGAAACAGCATAATTTAATTTTCCAATTTCATATTGTTGGATATGGAGATTAATGTTTTTACTTTCCTGATCAGGGATGTAATAACCATCTTTGAACTTGCATCACTATATACTTGTCCAATTATTTCCTTGGTACATGTTATGGATTGAAGTGTGCCTCCAAAAAAATTCTTATGAAGTTCTAATCCTTGTATCTATAAATGTGACCTTGTTTGGAAATAAAGATTTTTCTTATGTTGATGATGTCATACTGGAGTACGTTGGTCCTAACCTAATCTCTTCTGAGTGGTGTCATAAAAGTGGGAAAAAAAATAGATACAGAGAGACCCCCACACAGAAAGAGACCATGTGAGGAACACTTGTGGCTACCTTTAAGGAGGGATCCTCCCCTAGTGCCAATGCACTGATGAACTTCTAGCCTTCCAGACTGTGAGACAATAAATTTCTGTCCAGGAGAATAGGGCCATCCAAAGTCAAGACAGCGGGGTCGCCATCCCAGTGGGCCTGAGAAATGTATCTGCTGCCCAAGGCTTTAGGGCCCTGACCCAGACTCTGGACGGTGAGGCCAATGCCCAGATGTGGCTGGAGAACAGAGCATTATTTTCAAGCCTTGAAGTCTAATGGAATTTGCCCGTTGGGGTTTTGGACTTGCTTGGTAACCGTGACTCCTTTTTTTTTTTCCTCTCCATTTTCTCCCTATGGAATGGCAATGTCTATCTTATTCCATTCCCACTATTGTACTTTGGAAGCAGATAACTTGCATTGTAGGTTTCACAGGTCCAAGGATGGAGAGGAATTTTGCCCCAGGATGGAAAACACCCAGAGTCTCATCCATACTTGATTTAGATGATTCAGAAGATGAGATTTTGGAATCTGTATTGTGCCTGCATATATTGTATCGGGGTATAACCCAAATTAAAACCAGCACCAAAAACTCTTTCTGGACAGCAACAAATCCTATGCAACCATACCCTCCTGGGAATTAATTTAAAAATTCATTATCAATGATAATTCAACATAAGTTCACTCCAACAGGAAAATGGAGCTCCATATTTCATATCCGAATTTTCAATTTTCTTAGGTACATTTGCCTAATAAAGATTCTTGGGCTCTGGTTAATTTGGGGTTCTTTGTTCAAGGCAATAAAATTTTATAATGTTTTGTCATTTTCTTGCTAATTGATTTGGACTAATTTTGTTAAAATTCTTCTTGGCTATGGTTTTGAAGCTATTGCGAATAATATTTTCCTTTCTATTATGTTTTGTAATTTGTTATTAGTTTGTAGAAAAGGTATTCATTTTTGTATGTTGAAACATTCTGTAGTGCCTTGCATGTAGTAAGTGGTCAGTAACTATTTAATATTATTCCTATGTAGACAATGACAGTTATCTTTTTCTTTCCAATTGTAAATGTCATTTTTTTTTCTTGTCACATTATATAATCTACAATTTCCAGTACAAAACAATAACAATACAAACAGTCTCATCTTGTTTCTGGCTTAAGTGGAAATATTTCAGCATTATTTGGTACTTGCTAATTGACTTTTTGAATCCTAGATCCTTGTGACTTTTCTATTTTCCTGGATTAAGTTTGTGCATGGGCTTTGGAGTCAGTTATACCTGTATGGACATCCTCTAGCTACCTTCTCATTTTATTGCTCCTCTTTACAGCATAACCCCTCAAAATAATTATATATATTTCATGTCTCCCATTCTTGTCTTCCCATTGTCTCTTAAACCCTCCCCGTTCAGGTTATGCCTCCACCACTCCACAAAAGCAGCTCTTGATAAGATGTGGTTCCCATTTTGATAAATCTAGTGGTCAATTCTTAGTCCTCATCTGCCTTGACTTAGAAGCAGCATTTGATATAGTTGCTCACTTCCTCCTTTTAGAATCATTTTCTTCACTGGATTTCCAGGATAACCCCCTTTCTTTG